CCTGAAACAGAGGCCTCCTGAAATTCTATACAAATCACCCTAAGTTGTCCAAGGATGGACACAATAACACTAAAAATAAATCTTGGCATGAGAATTTGAATTCTTAAAATAAGAAGACAATAAGATAAGAAGGCAACGTCAGAGGTACCTTCAATCTACCATTTTAAAGGAAGATCACTAGAAAAAAAGAACAACTTCAAGGATTCGATTAGTGCTGAACATTTAGTCAATTTATTGCATGAATACATAATTGCCGACTCATCGATTTATTTAAAAATAAGAACTTATGCAAACTGATGGGCAGTCAATGTATAGAAAGAGGGAGGAAAAAGCCCTAGTGACAGAATCACTAATGTACATAACAGGCAGAAAATGATGGGGTTGGATAATTCAAAGAATACCTATATGCAAAGACAACATCATCATATCATCATAATGACTTTATTACCCACCTCTCCCTACAGCTCAAGGCGGGATACAACTTCATTAAAACAAGAGATAAAACACTATTAAAAGATGTAAAACATGCCAGTGTAGATTTATATAATCCAGTTCAAAGCAGATAATGTGGACTATCTGCATTGATAATCTGGATAATATGGCAGTGTAGATCCAGCCCTGGATGACCTAAATCAATAGCTTGGAATGATGGGATTTGCAATATCTGGAGAGCTATACCATTCTGCCACAATTTGTGCCAAAAAGGTAGAAGTGGAAGCACTGTGCCTGGTGAAAATTCAAAAGCATGGCACTGGATAGACAGAATTTAGACACCCCACCCCACCCCCCTCGGAATCCATCACTATAGCAGACCCTGCATACATATCGCCTCTTATATAAGGAGCACTAGATAACTGAGAATAAATTGAACTGAGAATAAATTGAAAGGCAGTCCCCAAGTTAAGATAAGTTCTGTAGGATTGTTTTTAAGTTGAATTTTTCTGTAAGAACAGATACATTTTTGTAATTGCATATATATTTTTCAGCTTTGGATAGCATAGGAAAGAGTTCCACATATATTTTTCAGCTTTGGATAGCATTGGGAAGTCTGACTTGGCCACGGTGATCCACGATCTGGTTACATCTCGTTTAGATTACTGCAACGCTCTCTACGTGGGGTTGCCTCTGAAGACTGCCCGGAAGCTCCAATTAGTCCAACGAGCGGCAGCCAGATTACTAACAGGAGCAGGGTATGTGAAGATCCCTTACCTTGCCAGCTGGGGGTGGCAGGGCCCAGGAAGAGACAGGCTAGGTAGTTTCAGCTTAGTAGGCCTGGCAGAGAGCTGCAGGAGCCATCTTAGTCTAGGGAAAAGCTCCAGTTCAGAGAGGGGGAGTGGCCTAGGCCTGAGCCAGCCCAGCAACAGCCAGGATTGGTTTGGAAAAAGGGGGGCGGAGTTAGACAGTTGGAGGGAAAAAGAGAGAAGCTTATTTTGGGAGTTCAGTTCAGTTCTGGGTGATGTTAGAGTAGGATTAGAGTTTTAGGAGTCTCTGTTAGGAATAGGCAGCTTGCCTGTAGTTTGCACAGCAAAGGTAGGCTGTGGCAGACTGGTTACAGCTATTACAGAAAAGAAATAGCTGGGATTTGTTTAGGAAATTGTAACAAAGAATAGAACCATTCTCTCAAGTAACCGTTACGCTTCTAAGAACCAAGAACACTTTAATTGTGACAGCCAAGCCTCTGAACCTGCATTCACTTTTATTCTGTAACTTGTATTCAATAAAACTCTTTCTTGTTTTTTTTAAAATTTAAGCCTGAGTCAAGTGCCATTTGTGTTTTGAGTCCCTTTCATTTTTGAATCAACCTCTCCTGTTTCCCCTCAAAGAAGCCCTTGGTAATAAACAGTACTTGGTGGTCCTAGAAGTGTTTTTAAAAAGCCTTTTAACATTCTAAATAGCTAGAGGGTTCCTGATTCTTCAGTTTATGGTGGCAGCGAAGGTTTTAGTAAAGAGACATCCCCTCAAACGCTATAAGTGCCAAAGTGGTGTGAATTCCTTATTGAAGGAGGGACAGTGGTGGGTTTGCTTTGCCCCCTGCCCAAATAGCATAAAGGAGCCTTTATAATTTGGTGGCAGCGGTGTGATTCTTTGACCCCCTGCCCAGATGGCCAAAAAAGGAGTTATTATAATTTGGTGGCAGTGGTGGGATTCTTTTACCCCCCCTGCCCAATCAGACATCGAGTGTATCTTTATAGGGTACAGGGAGCATACTACTCCTCTGTTGCGCCAGCTCCACTGGCTGCCAATTAGCTTCAATTCAAAGTGCTGTTGTTAACCTATAAATCCCTAAACGACTCCAGCCCAGTTTACCTGTCCAAATGGATTCTCCCCTATGAACCATCAAGATTGTTAAGATCGTCTGGAGGGGCCCTGCTCTCGGTCCCACCATCCTCGCAAACGCATCTGGTGGGGACGAGGGACAGGGCCTTCTCGGTGGTGGCCCCTCGGCTCTGGAACTCTCTCCCACTGGAGATTAGAACTGCCCCTTCTCTCCTGACTTTTAGAAAACTGGTGAAAACCTGGCTCTGGAAATTTGACGAGTGAGTCAATAACTCATGGCTATATGGATGGATGGTGATGAACAACGATTTTATTGTGACGACTTGGCCATTGTAATTATATGATTGTATTTTTTGGTATTTTAATGTTTTAGTGTATTACAGAATGTGATGTTTTTAAACGATTGTTTGTGATATTGTTGTTGGAAACCGGCCTGAGTCCCTCTACGGAGGTGAGAAGACTGGTATATAAAAGTTCTAAATAAATAATAAATAATAAATTAAACACCCCTGTAGTGTTTGTTTTGCTGTCTGTGCCCCTGTTCAGAAGATTTCCCCTCACTTTCTGTTTCTGATAATTGGATTTTGGAAAAATTTGGCTGGAAACAAGGATTGATGAGAAAGCTTCAGTGGAGACCCCCTCTTTCCTATGATAATTCTTTCAGGAGTAAATTTTCCTTCCTAGGAGTACGTTTCTCTCACTTTTTGTTTTCTCACCCCCGTTTTTAACAATGAGTCATTAATATGTTGGATGCTTGAAACTCGAGGACTGCCTATACTTGCATTTGTTATTCAAATTCTGTCCTGCCTGATCATAAACCATGCAGACTTAAAAATGAGACTAAATATGTATCATCTGTCTGGCCAACCAGGAATTGTAGTGGATGTCCTGTGCCAACATCAGAAGCTAAGACCATGCCTACCAAGAATTCTCACCTCCAGCTCTCCCTAGTTGCCTGCATTTGAAAGTATAACTGACTTCTAGAGTCCTGCCTGCCTTCTAAGAATACATCCCTAAATATAACAATAGGCCATATAAATTGGGTCATTCTAACAACTGGGCTTTAGCACAGTGGGTTAAAACCACTAGCTGCAATAAATCTTGTCAGTTGAAAGGCTGTTTGAAGCCTGGATCAGGGTGAGCTCCTGACCTTTAGCCCAACTTCCACCAACCTAGTGAATCGAAAGCAAAAATGTGAGTAGATAAATAGGAACCGCTTAAAAGCGGGGAGGTATTTTAAAAAGGCACCCATCAAGGAAATGCCAGGAAATACCAGCAAAATGATCAAAAGGAGGAAATTGCGAACAAAGCTATTCAGCAGGTAGATGGAGTGACAGCACACACACCACCCCTTGGCCGGAACCGAGAACCAAGACTTCATGAAGCCGAAGTTGCAAAAGCCTATATACCTCTCTCTATGTTCAAATTGTCTGCCTCGACTGCATAAAACTGCACTGAATGTTTGTCACATATATGTCCGGTGATCCGCCCTGAATCCCCTTTGGGGTGAGAAGGGTGGAATATAAACACTGTAGTTGAGTAAATAAATAAACAAACAAACAAATAAATAACGTAAGATAAACTAGGCAACAGCATTATGCATAACTACAATCTGTTAAATTCAAGAGGCTGTGCATTGGTAGAGTCTAAATAATAATAATAATAATAATAATACTTTATTTATACCCCACCTTCATCTCCCCAAGGTGACTCAGGGCGGCTTACATGAGACCACGCCCATCAATACAATAAACACAAAAACACAACAGAAAGTCAGAAAATAAAATTACATAAGATACAAAACCAATATAAATAAGAGACACAGTGATATAAACTCAAACATTAAAACACAAATGATCACACTGGGCAGGGCCAAATTCAAAGATAAAATTTTAAAACACTGGGAGATAGGACAATGTATAATATCGGAGAGGGGATCTGGGGATAAGGTAGGATGTAATTGCACGAACCATAAAATAAAGTGCTTCTGAGGACTAGATCCTGTTCAGTTTGGAAGCTGGGGTCAGCCCTGGCTAGTACTTGAATGGAAGATCACTATAGGAGCCTAGGCACTGTGGGCCACATTTCAGAGAAAGTTACTGGCAAAACCACCTCTGATTATTCCTTGTCTAAGACAACCCTGTGAAATTCATGTGTCACCATAGGTCAAGAGGTGACTTGAAGGCATATTCACACACAATAGTTTTGGCAAAGCAGAAAAAATCCTTGGGCAAAGAAGGCAGAACTAAAGTGAACCCGATGCCAAATTCTGATAAAATCATTAAGTACTGCTTACACATGTGTCTGGTACTAGCTGTTCAGGTCAAATTGCATTCACAATGAAAGTTCCTGGGTTTTGTTTTTTTTTAATCAAGGTTTAAACAATTTTTTCAGAAATAATCAATGAATTTTACCAGTAATACTCTATGTAATTTTTTTCTCCTTGCAAAATGTTTTTGTATAATCTACATAACTTTTGCATACTCTACTTGTAATAACAATGTTACTGAAACTGGCTTTAGTAACTAGTAAGAGAATGAACATGAAAGTTTTTCAAGTTCCTGCTTACATATTGTTGTTGCCAAGCCATTTCCATGACAATTTAGTTACATCCCAGAGCATTAGAATAGATTTTTAAAGTAACTATTAGTATTATTCAACACAGTTTCGCCAGATGTTCATCGTGTTTAGGCATCATTTCCATATACTTAATATCCACGCACCTTTTTCAAGCCAGCAAAGCCTTCTGATTCCAGAAAAAAGAAAGCAAAGGGCATCAATACAAATAAACAAAGATTGGAAAACAGGGAAGCAAGATTCCATAAACCTAGACCAAAAAAAAAAAAAAGATACAGGTTACTTTTGATTGCTGCAGATCTTTAAAAGTATAATAAAAGAAGAACTGTCTGAAAAAGTGTTTCCACAAAACCTTAATTCATACTCATTCATTTCTGAAGTTTTAAGTTTGCAATAGATGAGAAGGGAGTACATTATGGGCATGGCAATCTTTAATTTAATTTTTCTTCATTAACAATATGAGACACTACTCAAACAAGGTAATCATGTTCTCCCCTTTGAAAAATGAGCAAGAATCACTGCCCTTACTTGGATTTGCAAAAAAAAGAAGTGAGTAATCATGCCTTAAGTATTTATAGTGCTAAAGAAAAAAAAGCTACAACATAGAAAGTATTTCATTAGTAACCACACTATTTTTGCCAGCCGAATTCAGATACTATCTCGGTTTTAAATCGTTTAAGTATAAGAAAACTGCAATTAAATATTTTCCCAAGTCTGGTAAAGCCTCACCCTTGCCTTTAGTACTCTGAGGAACAAAAAGCAAGTCTTGTGTTGTCTTATTTTGTGTGTGTGTGTGTTTGTGTGTGTGGCTTACACTATGTTCTATCTCCATCTACTGGTTACACACAGCATAGCAAGAGCCTCCTTTTCACATTTGACAAGTTTGAATATTTTTTGCTTCCTACAGAGTTTTGAAAGTGTGCCAAATTTCTCAGATGTCAGACATGTTTTAAAGATTGTTCTTCCACTTCAAAAAGTTGTCTGTTTTGGACTTCAGAAACTTAAAGGGATGACTGAATTATTGTATTAAGCTCCACAAGGCATCTCCACTGGGAAGAAGCCTGTAAATGCTAAACACAATTCCAAAATCAGTAACCATTTGTTAATAACATAGCCATAAAAATAGAGTGCAACTACAAGCTGACAAACAGGAAACATATAGTCTGTGCAAACGCATCCATGTAGCATTGTTTAAAGCCACACTACTACCCTTGGCTATGCACAACAAACATAGCATGCCATAAATTAAACCAACTTCAAATGATTAAGAACCCCTGCAAAGACACACATTCAATATTTGAATAAACCTAGTATAAAAATAAGATATTGCTGGTGTCCTCATAAAACCAAAACAAGGATATAGCCAAACATTAGTACGACACAGCATTTCTTCCTTCCCCACAGCAAACCAGGATGTGGTTCACAAATGATGCTACAACCTCACAAATACAGTAAGGATTCCATGATAGGGACTATTCAGCTCCTTTTAATATTATGTATATGAAATCCATTTCTGAAATAATTAGGGTTTTTAAACTGAATCTAAAAGCACTTCTGCCCCAATTCTAATCACTACAAGGCATTAGCACCCTCTAACCTAGGAAAAGGTGCCCTATCTTGTTTTCCATGGTGAATCAAATAACCTTAATACCATACCACATAGTGTAACATACTTCAAGAATATTTTAAACTACAAGATAGTGTACCAATATTCAAATTATAATACTAACCATGTATTAGAGAGCCATTTAGCCACTGAATATAGTAGCTATGAGGAAAAGAGAGTAGGATCTCATTGCTGATTATGGAGAAAGGTAAAAGAAGGACGGCACCAGCTGAAACTGCAAGAGTAAATGTACTCAAGAACAGCCTGAAAGTCAAAAACAGGCATGTCTGTTATTGTCAATGCAATAGCTTAAAACTAATATTAATTTAATGCAAAGCAGCATATTTTTATTTTTAAAAAGCTTGAATACATGGTTATAAACATACAACAAATAAGTTATATGGATTGTTTTAATATTTAACATGCAAGGTTTAATTAAAGAAACAAAACAGGGAAGACATGTCTGACTTTAGCACACAGTGCAACATTTCACATAATTTGTTAAACATTTCTTTAAACAGTATATGAATGTCAACATGGAAAATTGCTACTATATATGAAAAAGCTTAAGGCAATACTTTAAGCACACTTTAAGATTTCAACCTTAACAAATAGGGCACAAGATTTTTAGTCATGATAGGTATGAAAAAGAACCCTTAAAATATGTCAACTTGTTTTTATTTTTAAAAAGATAAATCAGAATTAAATCAATACAACTGAAAATGAGAAGCAAATGCAAAGATGACCCCGGGGGCTGTTCCAGCGAGACATTTATTCAATGTAACAAAGTCACTGAAAAATAACAAAGAATATTTTAAATGAAATATTAGCAACTAGAAGGTAACCAATATCCTTGAACACTTTTCCAAGCCATTTTTAATATTTAAAACATTAGTTATTCCTATTTTTTTACTTCAACGTGACATGTTAGCTGCATTTAAAATGAAAGACAGCATATATATACCCTATTTACTCAAATCTAATGCTCACATTTTTGGTGACATGATCTTGCCAAAATTAGGGTGCACATTATATTTGTGTAATACAGTAATTAGTACTGAGCCAAAGCAAAGGTGAAGCTGCTTCAGGAGCTGCACCTGGAGCTCCTCTTTGAGGGATGTCATCTCTAAGCTTCCCACAGGATAGTAAAACATCCAGGTCTCCCCTGGGCAACGTCCTTGCAGACAGCCCATTCTCTTACACCAGAAGTGACTTGCAGTTTCTCAAGTCGCTCCTGACATGAAAAAATATCTAATTTAATGGCCATGGCTCAATTCTATGGGATCCTGGGATTTGTAGTTTGGTGAAGCATCAGCATTCTTTGGCAGAGAAGGCTCAAGGTCTTGTCAAACTACAACCCCCAGAAATCCATAGCATTGAGCTAAGGCAATTAAAATGGATTCATTCTACTCTATACATGCACCTCAAGGGTTTTTTTTTCAATTCCTGAAATTTATAATGTTCTAGAACTTTTGTTTTTATAGAAGGAATTCTAAGTAGGCAGCAACTACAATGGACAAACTACACAGAGTGATCATTTTGCTGCTGTGCATTACATTCAGCAGCAAATACTTTTTTTTTTTGGTTCTGGGGTTTTGTAAATTGAGGTGTGCATGAGATGGATGGCACATTAGATTAAAGTAAATACCGTAGCTATATTTTTTAAAAAAACGTTTAAATGTGTTTAAAAGAATGCATAAAGTATATCCAATCTTCCAGTACTTGCATGCTTCTCAGTTATTTAAGAATATTTTATTTTATTTTATGTAAACTTGCCCATTTGAAAATTACAATAAAAATTATCCCCCCAAAAAAGAAAAAAAGAATATTTTCAGGACATTTTGTTGCATGAGAAGAAACAATCACATTCCCTTGCATTTACAAAAGTAGTGAAATAAAATGTTGCTGTGAGGCCAACAGTACTATTCAGTCAAAGTACTGAATCACTATATATACCAGTAGTTCTCAACCTTCCGAATGCCATGACCCCTTAATATGGTTCCTCATGTTGTGGTGACCCCCCAACCATAAAATTATTTTTGTTGCTATTTAATAACTGTAATTTTGCTACTGTTATGAATTATAATGTAAATATCTGATCTGTAGGGTGTAATTTCATTCACTGGACCAAATTTGGCACCAATATGCCCAAATTTGAATTCTGGTGGGGTTGGGGGGTTGATTTTATCATTTGGGAGTTGTAGTTGCTGGGATTTATAGGTCACCTACAATCAAAGAGCATTCCGAACTCCACCAACGATGGAATTGAACCAAACTTGGCCCACAGAACTCCCATGATCAACAGAAAATACTGGGAGAGTTTGGTGGGCACTGAGTTTTGGAGTTGTAGTTCACCTACATCCAAAGAGCACTGTGGACTCAAACAATGAAGGATCTGGACCAAACTTGGCACAAATACTCCATATGCCCAAATGGGAACACTGGTGGAGTTTAGGGAAAATAGACCTTGACATTTGGGAGTTGTCATTGCTGGGATTTATAGTTCACCTACAATCAAAGAGCATTCTGAACCCCAGCAATGATAGAATTGGGCCAAAATTCCCACACAGAATCCCCATGACTGACAGAAAACACTGTGTTTTCTGATGGTGTTTGGTGACCCCACTGAAACCCCCTCGCGACCCCCCTTGGGGTCCCGACCCCCAGGTTGAGAAACACTGATATATACAATTTAATCTTTGATGTAGCATTTCAGTTGTCTAGTCAAATAAAAATAAATGTCTCATCACAAAAAAGGTAAGTGAAATCTGTTAGTTGTAAGGGAAGTGTTCCCTCTGCTGTAGAAATGGAGTACTACTGCAAATGTGCTAAAAGTAATTTCAGGGAAGGTTTCCTCTGTGCAGCAAATGAAAACCAAGAGAGAAATAGACCCATATATACCAGCATCCAATTCTGTATACACAAGATGGTACTAGGTTTGCATTTCCCAAATAGTAGCTCACATCACTGCAGAAGAAGACCTTCACAATCCAAATTATTATTAGCTGTTGACACCAAGTACTGTGCAGGGTTCCCCAACTTATAGCCACAATGTTCGTTCTTCAACCTTTTAAATGGCAGCAGCAAGCCAGGCTTTAAAGCTGCAAGGCCATTAAATGTTAATCAAGGTGGCCAATTGCAACTTTCACACTTCCCTCACACAGTCAAGAGTTATTTCTCCCACCCTGGACATTCCAGAGATATAAAAACCTCACTTGCCTAGTTTCTAACAGACCTCACAACTTCTGAGGATGCCTGCCATAGATGTGGGCAAAACATCAGGAGAGAAAGCTTCTGGAATATGGCCATACAGCCTGGAAAACTCAAGCAACTCAGCAGAAAAACAATTTTATGTTTAATACACCTATAGCCGAGTCTTCCATAGGTTAGAATCTATTACAATCAATTTCCTGATCAGAGCAACTCAAAACTCTATCTAATACTGTACATAAGTCTATCAGAACTAAAATGATTAATCTTCTATAAAAAATAAGAGTAGAAAGATCAACCATACAGGTACAACTTTTAAAACACACTCACAGTTTTTCATATTCAAAGCTCCACTCTAAGAAGCAAATAGTTTACATTTACTATTTTCTAAAAGAAACTAAAGCTGACAGTAACCTGATGAAATTTCTCAGATCAGACCTATCAGTGTAACGAATTAGGAGAGAGGAGGGACGATTTATTATTTATTACTCTTAATGGTGCCACCAATGTGTGATGTGAGGTATTATTGGGAGATATGGCACACTGGACGCAGAATTAATGGAGATGAGGCAGTCTTCAAACAAAAGAGAACAAGTTTATTTTGAACAAAGCGTATGGTTGCAGGCTGTTGATAAACTTGGAAATACTTTGAGAACTTTACATGTAACTTGGTTGCAATACAGTTCACACTTCTGGACGTTACAACTTGTAATTGACTTTTGCTGTGGTGAAGCACTTTCTTAAACAATGTTTCCTGAGGTGAATAGCCTTCCTGTTTGATCCTTCCATGATCAAACCCCAGATCTCTAGTTCATTTCTAACTAGTGATCTAAACAAGCTTCTCTTAGTCCTCTCTAACTAATGAAACTAATTAGGTTTCCCCTTCAGCCTTCCTAAACTGAAGAAACCTCTGACTATTCACAAACACTGCTTCTCTACTTCCCACTCTCTCTCTCTCAACTGCTAACTCCGACTCCAAAACCCTAACTCCTCACTCCTCGGAACCTAAAACCTAACTCATGACTGTTCACTCCTCTGAACCTAAACCCTCACTGAACATAAACTGTCGTTTTTCAAACTCTCCCCTCTAAGCTCCTCCCACTTCTCTCTCTAGCCTACATCGTCTCCATGGCAACGCCCTCCTCTCAGTTAGGCCGCTCCAGCATTACTGCAGCCAATCTAAACACAAATACAGTTAAAATCATACAATTTATAATCAACTTCTGTACACACAGTAAATATGCAATTATTTTGTGTTGGACAGTTCTTAGGCAGTGAAATACTATCAGGTCAATTTGAACCATTGTATTCCAAAAACCCATTTAACAAAAAGCCAAACTATTCTAAGTATATATAGTAAATGTATTTTCTCCCAATTAAATCTATACATGCGGATGTCTTTTTTTCAGTTGTCTAAACTTTTAAGACTGCTTTAAGCAATACTGCAAAGAAAATAAATTGGCCACCAAAACACAGACATAGAGTTTCTTAGAAACAGGACTAAATATGGATACAAGGTACCACAGATAAGGTGAAAGCAGGAGCTGCTTTCAGATGTTGTTCTCATCAGTGCTGTTTACATGACAGAAACTGTCATATTTTTCTTTAAAAGCACCCTCAAAACAACATACAATTTTAGCCTCAGCAGGCACAAAGATACATTTTATCATTCTAGATTACAGCAAAAGATGACCCCTTGAGGAGAGAGGGTGGCCTATTATTATTATTGCGTCTGTGAGACCAACAATGCTTTTTTCCTAAGAGAAGAATCTATATACAGGGTGAGGCAGCATAACTTCCGTTTTACAATGCGCGCCATTCAGTCAGTTGAAGACTTAGTGGAGCGCTAGTGGTCTCGTTTGAGAGGCGGGAGTATAAAGTTTTGTCCTGACACAGTTCAGTCGCCATCATGCGTTGGAACAGTGAGGAGTGTGCTTTTGCCATTGAGGCCTACTTTTCAAGCGGATTTGGAGTGGCCAGCCCACTCTCCAGATTTGGCCCCTTGTGATTTTTTTCTATGGGGTTTTTTGAAATCCCGTGTTTATGTGAACCATCCAAGGTCCCTACAAGATTTGAAGACCAACATCCAGGAAGAAATTGCCAACATAATGCCTGCTATGCTGGCAAGACTCATGACAAACGCCAGAAATCGATTTACTCAATGTATGGAGAATGGAGAATGGGGGACGTCACCTACCTAATTTGATCTTCAAAACTACGTAAAACAAAACTTTAGGTATGCACCTACATTATTAAAAAAAATCAGATTCATACAATGGGTTTTATTAAGTTTTGAAAAAAGGAAGTTATGCTGCCTCACTCTGTATAATCACTGAAGTTTCTATATTTGCAATATACGATGTAATAAAAAAAGTGGAAATATACATACGAAATTCTATTGACAATTGCATCTTCATCTTCTTGCTCATCTGAAAAACAATATACAATTTTATACTACACTTTTCTATAATGACAGATTATTTTTGTCCTAGTTGGTGACTTCAATGTTATGCTACTACAAATCAAGGCTACTACATATGTTTTCATTTACAAATCTCAAATATTTCCCTTTATGCATACTTCTTCTTGATAAACTAGGAGCGCTCTGGGGCAACATATTACCATCTTTCCCACCAATGGACATACTGGATAGGAATGCTTCAGAAATTTCAATAAAAAATGAAGGAACACAAATATGGGAATGCTAGCCTATAAAGTAGCAAGTAACCAATAGCCATTCACACATCCCTCATGGCTTCTTCTAACTCTTGCACAAAGGGGAAGGATGTATTTCCATTCCAATATACGGTGTCTTGGAATAATCGTGTTTCAGCATTAAAGACACAGGAATCTTTTTTTTTTTCATTTTCACTTGAGATTCATAAACACTAGAGACAGCACAAGTGGCTCATGCTTCCTTCCCGTTGGATGGGCTTTTATTTATGACATAGAACAAGATAAGACATCCCAACATGACTGAAGCATCCTCCCCAGATAATACAAGAGCACTCTAATTTCAATCTTGTTCACTTCACAGAGCTTCAAAACTAGACCAAAAACTAATATTCCTCTACACATAAATAATGTTAAGAATAAGAATCCACCATGAAGAAAAATATCCAGAAACCTTTTAGATATGGGTGGAACTTTGACTGGGTGGAAGAAAGGGACACAAATTTAGAGGAAGATGACAATATAAGCAATATTTAATTCTTATCAAACCTCACTAGCTTAATTTTCTGTAAAATGCATTGCTTTATTTTGTATAAATGTGTTCATTTACTTTCAGACTATGGAAGTAGATCTACAGCTTAGCACAAATGTCACTGTTTAAATGTTTATGAAGTGAAAGAGAAGGTTTCCCTTAAAATTTGTCAGTCAAGAAAAACTAGGAATATGATAAACAAAGAAGAAAAACTATCAAGATCGCAGAAGATTTTATCATTAAGGGATACTACAGTCATTGCCATCTAGATAAAATATGTATATTTCCACATCAGAATGCAAATAAGAATATACCTTTTAATTCTCATACAAATTGAAGTAATGGAACCCAGTCAAAGATCTTCACTGGCATATTTATTCAGGCTCTTTTAAAGTTGCCCTTTATCAGAGCCAGCATTCAATAATAAATAATAATTACTAGAATATCAACCATAGCATTTATAACAGAAATAAAAATTTTATTAGGTATCCTACAATCATAAATTTAGATGATGCCAGATTTAAATTGCAACCATTTGTATCAGCAGGATCTCACAACTTCATCACACTAAAAAATGAATCCACTTTAAATCAGTTTCTGCCTCCTGCAGAATTCTGGGATTTGTAGTTTAGGCAGGCTATTAAAGGCTCCTCCCTAAACTACAAACTCCAGAATTCTGCAGGAGCTAGCAACCAGATTTAAAGTGGATTCATTCTCTAGTGTGATGAGGTCCTTAATCTTACACCTATTCATACAATATCCAGATAAGTTAACATGGCTGTTATTTGGCAGCTAGGTGGCAGCATGACACAGACTATCAGCTACACTTTTTGGCAATAGAACAAAGATCATAAATGGAACATCAGTTGTGTCTTTAATAATCAAATGGCAGGCATACCACAAATCGTGCAATAAACACTAATATCTGTAAATAGCCTTGAATGATAATATTATATTTATATATCCGTCACATAATTGTACACTGGTGTTCAGAAGTAAACTCAGCTGACAGGTCATGTCTCTGATCAAAAAGCAAGACTTAAATGATTATGCCTCCCTTCTGAACTTCCATTCAGTTCCTAGACATATAATGTCCTTCATGGATCAAGAAAACAACTGTAAAGGCATATCCTCAGAGGCAGGAGCACATACTGAATTCTAAATTCAAAAAAGAATACAGATCAAAGGTCATATAATATCCTTCCCTAATCTTTACCAAATACAGAAGAATAGACAATATTTATCTTTCAAAAATTGAGAATCCTTTTTTTCAAAGCAGCTTAACAGATGCTAACAACTTAAGGACACTAGCGCTCCTATGCTGTGGTTTCCCTGCAACTAACATTCAAGCCAAAGCATTGTAAATAGAATGGTCACCAGTTAACATGTGTAAAACTCATAATGGAAACAAGAAATGTTGAAAAAAGTCAAAGAAGCATTCTTACAAGTTGTTCAAGACCTCAATTATGATAACTAGTTGTTGAACAAATTAGAGCATATCCTCTCTCACCTCAACATTCAAACCACCTTTTTCATATTTGGACTATGCATTTTATTCATGATCATAATACCAACTGCTTATCTCTCATATTCCAATGAAGATATGAATGAAAAAGAAGTTACCTCCTTTCCTCTTGTATCTTCTGATAATGAAATAGGAAACAATATACAGAATAGCGAATAGAAGAAAACAGATCTGTAAGAGAAAAGGTTAAGATTTGAAAATATTTGCATCATATAACAAGTAAGAATTACATTTTTAAAAACAAGAAATGAGACAAGTTCCAATGAAGAAAAAGGTTATGATTACTGTGGGCATAAACTAATATGATATGCCTATTTTGTTTATTTATGGAGCTCTTCCAGGTACGAACAGTATACAGAGGCCATAGACAAGCAGACACTACAATGAATATACTTTATTAAGATCCACTAGCAAAGAATTTATTTAATATATTAAGTCAAGATGAAAAGGTGTCAGAGCTTTCATGAAGATTGCAGTACACTGTATGTAAAAAGAAAATCTCCTGTTTCCTGGTAAGTAAGCAGCATTAATCAATATTGCTTGTAAAACACATTTACAGATATCCTAATCTAGCAATTTCCCCCAATGAAATTCAATAATGATATCACAACACTCATACAAGACATGGGCAGGTAATTCACTGTAAATGGATTTCTTTTTTTCTTTTCTTTTTTTGGCAGAAGGAAGCTTGTTTTTTAAACCAGACACAATGATTTTAACTATAGAAGTACATACACATTAAGCACATATTTGTTTCTGTGCCTTAAAGTTGTTTTCAATTTACAGCAACTCTAAGGTGAATCTACCATAGGGATCACTTTGGCATCCCCTGGGCAACATTTCTTGTAAACAACTATTTTTTCCAGCCCAAAAGCATTGTTTTTTATGCAATGCTTTCAACACAAAATAAAAATAAACTTGGCAAGATAGGTTCAGAGGGTGTTTGGCTTTGCATCCCTTTGAGGCTGAGAGTATGGTTCAGCCAAATTCCCTCAGTGAGTTTACATGGCAGAGCAGGGATTTTGAACCCTAGTCTCCAAAGCCAGAGTCCAATGTTCAAGCTACTACACCATGCTGGCTCTCATCACATATATATGTAACTACAATACAAAGCATAGATAATTAACTATAATACCAAAATGTAATACAAAAAAGTTAAGGGACTTTTTAAATTTTACAAAAAACAATAAAAAGCATTCAAATGTTTAAAATATTGGACTTCCTATGCTTGCATCATAATCTCTCATTCACTTCAGTTGTATTAATTAATCTGGCAGAAAGAAAAAGGCACAATGGTGTGGGTGGAAACCAACCATATTAACAACTGACTATGACTGAAATCCTGTGTAGTCTTATTCTGAACTATATCCTGCTGAACTCAACTGAACTTATATCTGAACGGACAGACACACATAGGACAATGCTATATCACACGTATCAAATATTAACTTTGTGAAGACAAGATGGAGTTATATCAGAACTCTGACTTTTGATGATAGAAATACGCCAGTAACAGAAACAGAAATGTAATAAAGTTAAAGTGTGTGTGTGTGTGTGTGTTATAGACTCTGAAATCTCCCCCCACCCCCAGAAGTATGTAGTGTCATATCTTATGCGTACTGTTGTTTGTTTCATACAATGACTATAGCTTATGGATGTAATTTTTTCCTTATTTAATATACATAAAAACCTTTTGTGTATCAATAAAATTGTTTAAAAACCAAATATTAATCCACATAACAGTGAATTTTACAAGAAAGTAGACTCTCCAAGGGTTGGAGAGCCAGGTAGCATCTGATTCCTCTCCAAGTCAACATATTTCCTTTTAGTCTGCAGACAAAAAAAGAAAGAGATTTTGATCTGTTTACTGAAAGTTGTATTTTATTCATGTGCATATCCTTTTTTACTTTCCCTGACATTGCCTTTCTAGTGGGCTCTGTCTTCTCATAATATAGGCAAAATGCAATAGTGTCATCATGTTGGCTTTTAGAGACATGTTAAACTTGATTTGTTTTAGGATTTATTTATTTGGGGGTTTAGCAGTTCATATATGGTATCTAAAGGCTATGTTTTAATGGTTTTACTGTATCTATATGTTTTTATCTGTTTTATTGCTTAATGTGTTGTTTTATATAGTTGTATCTGCAATGTGGCATGGAAATTTGCCAAACTGTAACCTGCTCTGAGTAGAAGTGGGACAGAAACATAGTAAATAAATACATAAATATTATTTAAACAGGTATTTTTGTTATCTTGTTTTTTAGAAAGCCCAATGCATTTCAGCCCTTTATATTACTATATTACCTTCTTCCATTTTTTATTATGTAACAGACCACTTATACGGAGAGGGATTTTCAGCACCTCCAGAAATGTATGCTGTTAGATTGAATGTGTAGCCCTTGAAGAAAGCCAAGCAATGAAATAAAAAGCAAGAATCAATGAAATAAAAACCAAATGTATGTGATTTGCATTACTTTCCATCTGCATCAAAACAATCATGTGGAAAATTGAAAATACCACTGTTCCCTTCTAAAAATGACAGTTTAAAAAGAGTGGTCAATTGAAAATATCAAGGAATAGATCCTGATTTTTTTAAAAATTCACGAGACAATAACTGCTCAAGAAATCAAAGTATGCTTTATTTAAATGTAAAACCCCTTTTTCAGGTAGAAGATGCTGCTTAATTGAAGGTGGCCTATTTTAGAGAGAGGCATGACAAGCCATCTTTGAGTATTCCTTGCCTAAAGAACTCTAAAAAATTAGAGTCAACAGGCAATTTGAAGGTGTGTGTGTGCACATATACACACACACACATACATACATACATGCACACATACCTATCAGCATATTACATAATTTGTTCTTTGTGTTGACTGATATTAATGCTTTTATTCAAAGTGCTCATACCTAAATGTCAGTGATCAGTTAGATCAAATGACTGTCACATCAGCACTCTGCAAACCAATACTTCTAAGAATACAGCACCATTCAGCTCATTTTACTAGTATTAGTCAAACATTTCAGATTCTTCCAATGCCCCTGTTTATAAGAAGAAAAAACAGAAGTCAACTTGAAGTTCTTTATGTAAATACTATTATAAAACTCATTAACTGCCCCCGCTAACGTGTCTTTAAAACTCATGCAAAAGCACTTCTGGGTTTAAAAAGAGATTGCCTGTAGTAAGTCGCTTTGAGTGCCATACCAGGTGAAAAACAGGTAATAAGTAAAATAATAAGCACTGCTGTAATGTATCAAAAGAAATAAAAGCTATCCCTTAACAAGGTTAAAGATTGCAACTACTTCAGAGGCTAGAAAAGCACTCCCAAGGACAGTGTCTTAATTAAGATTTGGAGATAATTCTTCAGAACATCATAGCAAACAAACAAGTGAGTAGAATGATGAGACAATGCTGTGAGATCAATAACAAGCTCTAGAACAGTGGTTCTCAACCTGTGGGTTCTCAGGCGTTTTGGCCTACAACTCCCAGAAATCCCGGCCATGTTACCAGCTGTTAGGATTTCTGGGAGTTGAAGGCCGAAACATCTGAGGACCCATAGGTTGAGAACCACTGCTTTCGGGCATTGTAAACACCTAACAACGAATGAGCAATTTCTAAAACAGAATGATTTTGATGAAACATAGAAAATGTTAACATTAAAGCATGAAAGAATGCCAGACAAGAAGTTAAAACCAGAATGAAGAACAGCTTTATCACTGCAAAAGCACAAGAAAAGTTCACCATAACTAAGTGCAGTTGATTCACTCATCTTCTTGGTGGTGGTGACATGAAATATAACTCTTAAAGTCAAGGATGTGAATGGCTCAAATGACTTTGATATTAGATGTGACAGGATAGAGTGATGAAGGAGTATGACAGGTGGATAAAGATGAGCCAGTCCTTTCAGAAGTCTTTTTATTGACAAACTGGTGAACACTTTTGGCAGCCCAAGAAGAGAAAGATAAACAGAGAAATGGAAGTGTTTCCTTACAAAGATGAAACAACCCACACAGCACTATAGGAACATGTATTTAGGTAGGATTACAGCAGTAATCTGAGTCTTCATGTTTCCAAATGGAGGGACTTGAGATCTGATTGATGAACCTACCCAGCACATATGAGAGGAGATCTAGAACCTGCAGTGGTCAAAACCATTCTCTGCCACAAAACTCAAGTAACACTATGAGCCATGCCTGAGAAGGTCAAATTGCTCAGTAAGTAGCTAAAGAGAAGGGAGGGGGATCCTGATGGGAAACTTGTGCCCAATCTTTCCCATTTCCTGTGCCAATGACAACAGTCTGTGTGAATCAGAAGTGACTGGACATCATGAAGACAACCACAAGTGACCTCATGGTCAGTAAGGACCATTCAGCCCATGTAGATAAACAACCCCTTGTGCTATTTTCTCAGGCCCTCCTCTCACACTATCCTATCCTTCCTTCTCTTTCTTTCCTCCTTCCTTCCCTCCCTTACCTCCCTCTTTCTCCTTCCATCCTTCCTTCCCTTACACCGTTTTGTCCTTCCTTCCCTCTTCCATCCTTCCCTCTCTCCCTCCACTCCCTTCCACCTTTCCATTCTTCTCTTCCCTTTTTCCTTCCACCTTTCCTCCTGCTTTGATTGTGCCTTCTGGCATGGCAGAAGGTTGGATTGGATGGCCCTTGAGGGTCTTTTCCAACTATAGGATTGTATATCAGGAGTAGGCAATATGAAGTCTAATAGATACACTTTTTCTCTCCCATCCACCATCTCATCCAGACCAAGACCAACCCTTTGGGATTCAAACATTTCCCGCCTTTCCTTCACTTTCTGCCCCCAAAAGAGAAGAGGAAGGGGAGGAAAGGGCAGGGAGGGGACTTGCGGCCCTAAAGTTAGAAAGTTTGCCCGTGCCTGCCGTAACATCTGTGTTCAAAATAATCTTACTAAATTTTTAAAATATCTCACTGCATTCATTACTGAAAAAAATCGCCTTCATATTCAAGTTGTATTGCAAGTCATCTTGACAAGATAAAATGTATAATTCATAATCATATATCCTTTAAAGATGATAAAATGGCAGATTTAGCACATCCTTTTAACAATTTACCCAGCATGCAATCACTTGAAAGCCTAATTTCACAGTAATGCTATAAACAGAATGCTAACTCAACTAATTTGCTATTAAGAACCTGAACCT